GAAAAGGCGCCGATACTTCTCCCTCCCCTCTTGAAGGGATACGGAATAATTTGTTCACCCCAGCGATGACCCCAGCCAGGTGAAACTTAACGGACGATTTCTATGTGTTTTATTGTACAGATCTGTCGAATCGTAATTTTCGAAATTTTCCATAGCGAACCATAACCCCAACCGATTTATCGACGCTTGGACAATTAAGTCGCGTTACGTTATGTATTTACAAGCGAGCCGCGCGACAAGGTCGTCATAGGACGCCGCGGAGCGTTGCGTGCCGCTACGACGAAATGCACGAAGCCCCGCGAAACTAGGAAGAACGTGGAAAGGGACGAAGCGAGGCCGTACGCCGCGCGCCAGAGAAGGACGAACGCACGGTACACAGACAACGCTCGTATTCGAGAACGCTCGTATTCGAGTACGTTCGTGAGCCTTCGTCCGCGAATCGCGTACGTCACAGCGGGGCCGGCCAATAGCCGTCGAGCCGGATGACTCATCCAGTCGAGCCTCATGTAAACTCTCTCGTGCCGCTTAGCCAGCAGTCTCCCGCCAACAAGCAAAAGGGCAAGCGCCGCTTTTGCCACGTATCTATCCCTGTTTCGCCGTGAACGCGTAAACACACGCTTGTTCTCGCGGTTTGTGCCGTGTGGTCTTGCTCATTTTTACACAGGATCGAAACGTTCCGAGTATCGCGAGGGACAACTATCAGACGATCGACGTGCGTCGTACGAGAAACATTCTCGTAATCGCGTGGTTTGCGTAACCGCGAACACCGAAACTTCAGTTTCGCCAGTGTGTTCGCAGCGAGAGGCCAGCAAGAAAAGGGATTCGTTTGGGTTTTGTTCGGCTGAACTGGGTGTGTATGTGTCAAATGGTGAGGTGAGAGCCGTCCAAGGGAATCGTGGAGGGAATCTCGCGCAGCTCGAATATGAGAATCAAGAAGGAAGCACCGTGCCTCGTGCTGAGGCTAGTCCCTCTGGAGAATCTCGAGCCGTGGGGTAAGAGTCGATCTTACACGTTTGTCTCTCAATGTTTTCGTTAATGTGAGTCATTCCGTGGCTGGACGCCGCGCGTCTCAACACTACAGAGATCGGTCTCTGGTTCGTTAGTTTCGTCATGGCTGGACCCGATGTCCGTTCTCGTTTTTATTCCACCGGTGAACCGTGGTGATCTTTGTTTTTCAACCGAAACAACAAATTCTATTCTTGTTCTCCGTTGGAACGGTTAGAATTCAGCTGGAAAAGGTAATACCAACGTCGCGAGAGAGATCAGTAATATATGCTGGAGAACTTATTTTTTATTTATATGTAGCCTTCGCGAATTTCTCGTACGAGGCTTTCGAGTCGAAAGGAAAATAAATAGTAAATCGGTGCATCGTTGTTTTAACATTACACGACTGACAGCATCCCATATTTTCTTCTTTTCGAAAACGAGTATCCGGTTGTCTGAATCGTGTCACGAAGCAATTTGTTTATCCGCATCGGTATTTACACCCCTGTTGGCCAGATGCCACTGGTGGCGCGGTTAATCACACCTTAACCAGTCGGTTACCTATGTTCCATTTAGCCGTGTAATTCTCGAACGTCAGTAGACAACTATGGTCAAAGGTATTTCTGAAACGTCCGCGGCAGCGGCGGGAGAATACGAAGTCGAACGTGGCACGCGGGTAAATACAATCTCTCTCTGCGCGGATGACTCAGGCCTCTGTATCTTAGATTTAGGCGTAATGTGTACCCGATGACTCGTTTCGTAGTAATCTGAGGAACGACGGAATCGTGGATTCCTCCGAGGCGTCGAAACGCGACTCCCATCGCCGGTAATCGGACGCACGTTTCTACGTTAAATCACATTTGCAGATAAGCCTTTACCTACTGTGAGAGAAAATTCCTTCCACGTCGATAAAACATTCCTTGGTAAACACCGAGAAAAAGAGCACTTTTTATTTGTCAACAAGTGGTACCAATCTCCGCGCAAGTGTATAGTCGATAAGTAAGACTAATGTCCCTCAACCTGTTAACCGTTTTCATTTCTCTCGAGCAGAAATGGAATCTCTTGGTACGCGGAATTCTCGGATAAATAATTGCTGTATTCAATTTACCGACTAGAAAGTGTAACGTAAGATGGAAAAGATCGGTGTCCCATAAAGTGTACATGGTGGACAGAGGCAGAGTGCACTCCGTCGTCGCGATGGAATGTGGGTCACTTCATTTAGGTCATTATAACAATCAACTTGTTAGCGAGGTTCATTGCTCTCGTTTCGCAGGTGTCACCAAAATGTCATTCCCCCCTCGTGATATATTTGTCTAAAACAGTCAGCACTTTCTGTCGAACTTACCCTTAACAGCTCCTCTCAATGCCCCCGTCCCATCAATCATCTACTTCTTCGACCATCGTTACCATCCACCAATTCCATAGAACATTAATTGGCAACAACTGTACAACGTTAATTGGTAGTAAACTGGTTCTTCCAAATGAACGACAGGTTAGACCATGCCCTCAAAGTAAGACCAGATATCCCGTACTAAAACGAGCAGCACGCGTCATCGTGTAAGATCAAGCGTGGTGTGTGCCAGCCGCGTTGGAAATCAGGCCAATGCCCTGCGAAGGAACACGCGTACCCCTTTTCTTAATAATTGCGACCTATTAAGCGTAATTACCGTTCGGTCGTCGCCAGGAGCGCGCGTACACGTATCGGGTATCGCGATGGTAAAACACGAGCCCGTGACGTCACACAGCCTATGTGTCACGTAGTGTGGTGTACGTTTTACCATGGCGTGCTGCGTCGCGATAGATCGCGTTCACAAAGTTGCGATTTCAGTCGAAACTAGTCTCGAACGTAGGATGTCTTTGCTTCGTACATCGATAGGCGGCGCAGTTGTGCCACTTCGTTCGTTATATGTGGATCATATAACAAGTTTTGCCGCGTTTGCATAGTCGCGACCGTCTACAAAGGAAAACCGTTACGTTCGACATAACCTACGATGGTAGTATTCCAGCGCCGTATAGTCCCATGGGGAGAAGAAACGTTGCTTCGAAAAAGAATCAACCGATCAACCATAAAGCATGTATGCTGTGAGTAAATACGAATGTGTGTACACGCGTGTCGTCGATACGTGTCCTCTTGCTCGTCGGACGACGCGTCCAACGCTATATTTACGATTTCCGGCAGTGTGAGCCTTAAGACTAGGTCACGGAATTGCATTACGCGTTTACTTATACGCCAGCCCGTGTCGAATAACGCTTACGAACCTTAATTCTCGTCTGCCTCATTTTAATCTCAAATCGAACCTTATATGCGACCGTCCACGAAAACACGTTACACTTCCGCTCGGCGACACCAGTCACCCGCCAAATTTCAATCACGCGACAACCAATTACAAACCTCGGCTTATCTAACGATCGAAAACGAGTAGTAACACCGAGTAAATGTGACGAAGGATAAAAATAACACGCGAATTGATCGAATCGAATCCGGAAGAAGGACCTTTCTACACCCCGGTCTCCCCTGATGAAAAGGAAGTTTCGTTGCGGAATAATCATCGGTCGCGACAACAGCAGCCGCCACACGGGGTTGGTGGCCGTGGCGGTGCGACGGCAGGGGGCGAAAAGAGTGACTCATCGTTGAGCCAGGCCAGGCCTTACGAGCTGCAGGTCAGGAGAGGAAGACAGTTTTAGCCCACATTTCTTCCTCTCCCCCCGTTCCTCGTTTTGCGGCCGGTGTTCCTTTATTTTTACCCAGCCCGTTTATTCGCGGTTCCTCGTTTCCTCTCTCGCTTCCTCTCCCGTTACCAGCCGCTTTTCCTCCTGCCTATTCCGCTTTCCAGACACGCGGCGTCCACGAGGAGACCAGATTCGACGACATGTTGGCCGTCTGATGGATTTTAGGGGCGTCATTCAGGGTTTCTAAAACGTGTATTAATAGACACAGTGACGAACAGCAGGTTAGAATAACGAAGAATATAAAGTAGAAAATTGACGTATTAACGGAAGGGTTAAAATAGGCTGAAATCGAATTTTTTCAAATCAGGATTTTTAACGACTTCCGGTATATTAAACGCTAAGAGCTTCACACCAACCCCTCTGCTTTGGGATCCACGTTTCTTAAGATTGGAAGACTTTCAAGTCTCCGAGATTCATAATGCAGCTTCGATAGGGCTTCCAGAACCACACATTCAGATTCACTCTCCCCACGGTTTTAAAAACTGTTTAAAATTTTTATCGAGTAAACCGTGGAATACTCGTGAGAGTTCCACGTCTGTTCTCAGGTACAACACCGCGGAAGTACGGTGAACCTGCTAGGCGGAAGGTTTATTAGCTCGTCGCGTTTCTCGAGAAATCAGCGTGTACACAATTCCAGGATACAATTCGGCGTACAGTTGAATCACTGCATTGTGTGCTCCACGTGAAACACGGAACCTCTGTTCCTTTCGCGGAACCGCCTCTTGTATTTACTTAATTCAAATAGAATTTTTTTATGCCTTTGGATTAAGTTAGGTTAGGTTGTTCGTATATATAGTTGGTACTGAATTATCTCCCAAGGCCAGTGGAGAACAGTTTTTCCACCTTTACTTTTAACACTAACCGTCAAATGACCAGTTTTAAAATTTGATATGTAATTTCTTTTTATTATTATCTAAAGGCTATTTTCTGCGTTGTTTCCTATGTATAAACTGAAGTTAAACATTGAGTTTGTTGCATTGGTACTTTAATAGATTAAAATTACAAAAAGAAGCATAGCAAATTGAAGAAACGTCAGTTAAATCACGACAAATTCCATCGATTCCATTTGTATCGGATTTACGTCATTCGAGCTCGAGTAAACTTTAGTGAAACGAATCACAGCACCACCTGCTCTCCCCTCGTTGTATCGGTATTTTGAAAATAACCCGATACTTCAGCTGAGACCAAGTTCCCACGCCTCTGACAGGCTTCTTCCACTCGACTTTTCGAAAAATCAGAACTGTTCCAGCCTCTAACGAACCCCTTCTTTCCCGATTTGCTTTCAGGTGGACACAAGGAGTTCCACAGGCGGCACAGAGACCTCTGCGAGGACACGCTACTACCAACAGTCGCAGCCGGTTCGTCAACGGTCGGCAGTTGTGCCAGTCCGGGACCAGGCTGTCCGGTATTGAGCCTTTCTGGACCACCAACTCCCCAACCCGCGGATATCGATAGTCATCCTGCATCTCGGGTTCTACCGTTCTTGTACCTCGGTAACGGCAGAGACGCGGCCGATTTGCAACTTCTTCGCGCGCTAGGCGCCACCAGGGTCCTAAACGTCACGTCACAGTTGCCTGGCTATCACGAGGAGAGGGGTATCACCTACAGGCAAATCCCTGCCTCGGATTCCGGCCATCAGAACCTTAAACAGTACTTCGAGGAGGCCTTCGACTTTATCGGTGAGTTTCCATTCTTGGTAGGATAATTTTAACGCGGTTGCACGCGAGAAAAATACTTCGCGTGATCGCTAGGCGTGGGGTAAAATTTTAGAAACCGTTATATAATGTCTTGTATGTTCAACAGAGGCATATAGTTCCATAATAGACCGCTAGGTGAATATTGCGACCAAATAGAGGCGGTAGAATTAAAAATGGCATAAAAAGACGAAGTTTTACGTGACAGGCGTGAAACGTGTTAAACGAAGTTTGACCACTTTTTTCACGACGTTATTATACACGATTTAACACGATTTATTAGTGAAACAAATCTCGATTTTTGACGGGAGATTTACTATTTACCTACCGTCGATAACGCGTCTAGTTTCGTCTCGATCGTGATTATCCCATCTATGTAGTAACCTCGTAACGAAGAAATGTCTTTAGATAATTCCAAGAGAGTTTTTTCCTCTCGATTGAGTCTCGTTGGTTTTCTAATGGATCGAAGATGCCTATTATAGTGGAAACGTTCGAAGTAAAGTCCTGTAGTCGAGAGTATAACGGTACCAGCGCCACCAAATGAAAATTCCTGAAGCACTCTGTATCGTGTGACCAGTATTTACAGGCAGCTTACGGTTGTAGAGAGATACTTCGATAAATTACATTTCCACGAGCAAACAGAACATCCTAGGAAATTATCAACCCGTTTTTCCTCGGAATCTTTGAACGCAGCGCAGAGTAGGTGAAATATTTCGATTCAAGTTTGTCGAATTAATGAAAACAAGCTTCTATTCATTAAACGAACAGAGAACGACATTCGAATAGGTGACGCACAACAGTTTTGCAACGCTGACATTGAACGAGAGTGCTCCATTGACCAGGCTCTCTCTCTTGAACCTGTTGCGTGCAATTCGACGAAAATACCAGGATCGACAGTTAGGGTAAATTGGTCTAATTGCATTGACGGTGCAAAATGTCGGGAGGTTAGGACGCGACATTCGAGGAGGCTGGTGTGTTTAATTCACCGTGAGAGAAGTGGGGGAGGGGGGGAGGGAGGGAGGGAACGTTCACAAAGAGATGTTGGCCTCTGTCGATGAGTAATTCTTTCGGCTGACTGGGTGTGTCCTCGGGCAATGATCGTCATTGCCGTTTGTTGAACACGCCAGTTCTGCTCGCGTTTCATGCTCTCGAAGCTCTCGAAACTTATTGTTCGATGTAGTAAGATCAGTCGCCATTATATTACCTGCATATACATATAGTCGTGGTGTTGGTCGGACCTTGACTTTTAATATTTCTCCTCAGATTTTTATTCCGAGAAACTATTAATTAGATTAGACGACGGATAGGATTATAATTAAAGGATAATAGCTTCTTCAATCTTGCTAGATTTTGCGTGTTCGGACAAAGATCGATGTTTTCAGAATTGATTATAGGTTTTTTTCCCGATGAATTACGGACTGCGTGCAAAAAAAGAAAGAAGGCACGGAGTCGTGAGAATCGACAGTTTAACACGTGAAAAAAATTAAGCGACGCGGCTGTACGGTGTTCCTGGACCCATGTGTGCCAAACAAGGTGCAGGAACTTCCTAACGGTCCGAATTTCAGGCGTCCTTTATTTCCCTCCATGGGAACCAAGGACTCCTCGATCCTTTTGTGAGAGAGAGAGAAAGAGAGAGAGAGAGTAGGGATACCGGTTAAAACTTTCCATCCTAACCTGACTACATACCCATTCCGGATCATGAAGCGAAACCCAACCGAAGAAAATATTACGCCACACATCCTTGTAACCCCCAATCAAATCATACAGCAAATTAAGGTTATGGTTACCCTAATGAAATTAGGACGTGCAAGAGGTCATAAAACGAGGCATTGTTTCGACTGTTCCCCTGCAATTATGACCACCGTTCCTTGTATACCTACTCCCATTACTCTCTAAATGCTTTTAAACATACCATTACCAACAATCGAATTGCATAGAAATTCTAACCTAACCTATTTTCCAAAAATTACAGTTAAAATCTTCCATCTTTGAAAATTCACTTTAAAAAGGCGTTTCTTTTAACAAATTGCAATTAGCGCTATCTCGGTGTTACAAGTAGAACGCAGTTTCGAAAATTCAACGGGAAAAGGGTTGGAAACGTCGCTTTGTTTGTCCTGCGCACCAAGCAAAGAGGCGTCTTAACGGTCAACGCACCAAGGTGCCCTTCATTTCACGCAACAGTCCCTACGGTGTTGGTCGGTTGGCCAGGTACAGCATTCCACCAGTTGCACATTCGGTAGGGCCCTCCTGTGTACGCGCGCGCGTGCGCCTCTATACACAGGGATGCACACAGGCGCACGTGTGATCGGCTCACGTTACACACACACACACGTTCACGCGGGGAGAGCAGAATGCGGTGCAATAAACACACGAGAGGCCGACACTGGGGCACCATGAAGGGGATTCACGGGTGTGCGCATTCGTTGGTGCGCTCGTTCGCTCGCCCAGTGACTCATGGTTTCATGAATGGAAGCCTTTCGTCTTCTAGTCCTCGCACGGTGAATGGTCCACCGGAAACGGCTGGTTACACCCTGTTTCCGTTATACCAAACTGCGCTGCGCTGATGAGGGAAAAACGAGCGAGCGAGCGTGCCGCTGATGACGAGCTGTGCGTTGTTCGACATTTGGCGTTATATACCGTTTTGTGTTGGGGCTTAGGGATCTGTGGTGATTGCAGGTCGATATTATAGGTGCAGTTAACGCAAAGATTAATACTT